ATGCATTATGTAAAGGTACAATTCCCAATGAGAAATGTAATTGTGTTATATACCTACAATGTACCAATAAAAGAATTTAATAAAGTGAAAAAAAAGTACAGATAAACTTAATGAAAAAATAAAATAAAATATTAGATATAATTTTATAATTATCAATAAAACTGGAGAAAACTCTTTCAAGTACCTTTCAGGTATAATCTAGAAGAACACTGCGCCTGCCTGGCAAGTGCAAGGTCTTGAGTTTGATTCCCAGTGCCAAAATACTAATACCAATACTAATACTAATAATTTTAAAATTAAAAAAAATCATTTTCCACAAAACAAAAAGATAGGCAGGCCACAGAAAAATCCTAAAAATGATGGCCCATTCACAACTTTTAATGTATTTTTAAAGTCTAACTCAACCCATCTATCACAGTAAAAATATTTTATCTCCTCTACGTAAAAGTAATTGGCTTGAACTACATTTTTAAAAAAATCTGAATCTTCTTCCTCTAGCTTTCAGAACTAGGAAATATGAGTTATTTCCAAATTAAGCCTATCAAAACTTACTGGAAATGACATCATCAGAACTTACAGTATCTACCAATGCCAAAAGATAAGTTCTTTCCATATAAAGAATATTCCCCACTTTTAAACGGACTGAGCCTTGCCTGCCCAGGAAATAGCTCAGGCTGATGCCATCATTCATTCATGCCATGAATATTCATTGAAAACAAACTATGTGCCTGGTGCTCAGGACACAAAAGCCCAACAAGCAATGTAACCAGAAAATGCACCATGGTGACTATGTTACAATGAAACACAGTGCTAGGGGAGGCTATCCACCTGCAACTCTTCCAGATCTAGGAGGTCAGGACAATCTCACAGTAGATGGGAATTCCTGAATTCAAAAAGACGCCACAAGTAATATAAAAGAGACAGATAGTGGTAGGACTACGTTGCCTTTTAGAAACCTGATCACAAGCAGTGTGAAGAATAGAGGGGAGCATCCTATTCTGACTATGGGCAAGAAACCAGACAGAAAGCTGCTGTAGTGATCTAAGATAGAGCCTGACCAGATGAGTTTTTCAACATCTACCAGTGACCAAGCTTATCCTATGCTAAAACAGCTGATGCTAACCAATCTTGCAAAATAAATTTTTTTTAATTTAATTTGGTATTTGGACCTAATCTTAACGTGGCCCTGTGATTATTTTTAATAATCATAAGCAAGTTTTAGAAAGCCTTTTGCCAGGACTAATTAAAATCAAACATTCATGTTGAGCACAACCTAATCGCTTATCTTTCATTATGCTACATTAATTTTGGTAAAATAGTAGAGAAAAATGGTAAGGAGGATTGTTGGTCTCCCAGCTGTCTTCAGATATGTCACAGAACTCCAAACAAAAGTGTCCACCTGAGCCCTCATTCAAACTTAGCAAGAGAACCTGTTCCTTCAGGCTTAGGGCTTTGCTTTTCCAGTTTCAAATAAATGGAACTTGAAAGCTACTGACACCCAAGAATTCTAAGTCCCTGAAATTTATCTTTCCACTTCCCTGAGCTTTGGTATCTTTAAGTAAAAGCATTTTCTTTGCCATGTGATGCATCACCAGACCCCTTATTATTCATTACTGCTGCGGGGGCCGGGGGTCGGACTACAATAATCTTTACACCATCACCACCAACATTTCAAGCTTTCCAAAATACCAATCTCCAGACAAACAATTTTACTCTCAAACAAGTAGGAGGAACAGCAGATCAGAGAAAGTGCTTTACGTGCCGCACGTATCACTACCTTCATAAGATTTAACACCACCCGCCGTGCTACGTATTTATTCATTTATTGGTTTACTGCTTATCTTTCTATACCAAAATACAAGCTCCATGAAGGCAGGATCTCTGTCTTGTTGAGTGCTGCAAATTACCTGCACCCAGAACAAGGCACGAGTCCTTAATAAATATGTCAAACATCGGAGTAAAGCTGCCGCTCAGAAATTTGAGCATCAACCCTCAGAAACCCTCAGGCACTCTTGCTGACAGCTAGCTAACAAACTCCTCTGGTCTAGAGGCTGAAGTCCAGTGAAACGAAGCAGGCGAGGCCCTATCAAAACCAGGTCCTGACCGCTCCTTCCGCCTCATCCACTCCCACCTCCAAATGAAGCAATACACAGCTTCAAACTTGGCGACAGTGAGTTGCGCGCTATTCTGGAGACTTGTTCTTTCACTCGGCCAGGTTTTTCAAACTGATGTTCCAACCCTGGGAAAAATCTTTATTTCTTCTGGCTTACTAACCCTCACTAGTCCTCCAAGGCTCAACTTTAATGCCTTCTGCACACAACCTCGCCAAGCCTCGTTGGACGACAACTTACTCCCATACACACAATAGCGAAGGTATGCCTGGGCTGCTGGCGCCCTATACCTCATTCGTTTCTCGTCTTATTCCCACCAGCCTGCAGCTCTGGGGGCCAAGACCGGGTCCCAAATCTCGGCACCCCAGGCGCCGGTAGAGTGGAGGCTGCGGACACCACTCCATCCCTCCGAGCGACGGCCGTCAGGAGGCGCCCCGGACCCGAAGCGTCCCCTCCGCGCCCCGGGCCGCGGGCCGCTGTCGCCGAGACGCCAGGGAGGGCAGGATCGCGAAGGCCGGGCCGAGACAGGCGGGCTGGCCTGCGGTTCTCCCCGTACCTGCCTCACGTTGGCCGGCAGTTTGCTCCAAGGGTAGTTGTGGCGGATGTGGAACTCCACGTCTATGTTCATGGTGCCTGAACCGGGCAGCGGCGACCGCGACAGAGCCGACGCCTCCCGCCCGCAGCTTGTCAGACGACCTGCGCCTCACACCGCAGAAGACTCGAAATGTCCCATGGCCAGGCCTCCCGACTGCCAGCTCGGGCCCGGCCGCTGGGCACAGCAGCGGCGGCGGCGACAGACAGCTGGCACCTCGGAAGCTCCAAGTTTCTTCCTAGTTTCTGCCCACCGGAAATGGCTCCGGGCTGACGTCACTTCCGTACTCTACAGCCCGGTCAGGGGGCGGGGCTCCGACTGGCCTGTCCCGCCCCCACGCGCTGGTGGGCGGGGAAACGCAGCGGTTCCCAGAGATCCTCGGGAGCTGGGCCGCGGCCGCGCCTGCTCTCCGGCTCCTTGGCGCGGGTTGGTCCGAGTGGAGGAGGTTCCTCAGTGCTTGAGGGCGCGTGGCGTTGCTGGTGACCCAGTGTGCCGGAGGTGTGGCCCTGGCCGGCTCAAAGTGGGCGGTTACAGGCAGTGGGGCCGGTCGTCTGAGGGAGGAGGAGCCGGGAGCCCTGGGCCCGGGAGGCCCAGCCCGCGGGGCCAGGCCGTGGGCGGACCGGTCCCGGCGAGCCTGCCCCTCACGGGAGGCTGCCGCGCCTTTGTCGAAGGAGAACTCTGCCCACCTTCGGAGATCCAGGCTCTTAAAACGAAGGGGTTCGGGAGCAGCGTTGTTAAACAGCTGGTGCAGCAAATCCCAGAGCCTCGAGACAGTCGGGCGCTGGCCCTGGCCAGCTTCGACGTGAGCCACTCGTTTCTCCTTCGGCACCTGCCGAGTTTCTGCTCCGCGCAGACTCCTCCACATTGTAAAGGCAGAAATCCAGCATATCTTCATTTTAGGTCTACAGGGGTCCTTGGCACAGTTTCCTGCAGAATTTGTTACATCGCCTTAGTAATCCCATGATCATTATTACTGGCAGAAACTAGAGACAAGTTCAGAATTTTTGTAACAATTTTTGAGTTTCAAACAGTGGCTTTAAGTGTTTTCCTATGTACTCACTGATTCATACTGCCTAGTTGATGCATAGCAGAAACCCCACTGTATGTGATTATCTAAAACAAATGTGGTACACACCCCTTGCCTAGGTGTGTTGGCCTCCTGTTACCCAACTATAGTAGCTTTGAATCTTATCTCTACAGACCCTTGTCAGCATTGCTAAAGTTAACTCCAACTGTAAGACATGAACTCAGCAAATACTGATTGCGGACCTATGAAGCCCTTGACTTAGAACAGATCTTTCTCATAACCCTGTTACTCTCCTAGTTTAACAAGAGTAAGATGAGACTTGGCAGGGCAGCATGAAGTGCTCACACGATCTCTCACGTAGCAGCGACAGAGCCCAGGGCACACTCTAGAGGCATCCTTTTAATTCCCAGAATCCAACTATCATGGAGCCATTCTGCCTCCTGTTCCAATTTAGATAATGTTCATTTGAAGAGAACATCATAAATCCCTTCAAGATAATTTTTCATAATTCTACATGTAGAAAAGCCCGTATTCTTCCAAAGTCCAACTTTGATCTAATGCAAGGTAACAATGAAAATTAAAGAAAACTTAATTTTAAAATCTCTAAGGCATTATTTTAGTGAGTTACAGCAATAAAGCAGGAGTGTGCCTGTTAAATTCATTATTTAACAACAAATATTAAATGTAGCCTGGACACATCAAAAGTTACAAAAGATAAGCAGAGGCCAGTGGGGGTGAACATATATGAGCATTAGATCAGCAAGGCAGGCATCTTTGGAAGCTTGACCAGAGTAGTCAGAAAAGATCCTAACTTGGTAAGTAGCCAAAAAAAGCAAAATATGAAGGAGGAAATGATAATGAGTTAAAGCTGTGTGAACAGGAGCAACAATTTCTTCAGAGTAGGAACTGGTGAGAGTTTGGTTTATGAAAAATACAGGGTACTAATTATGGTACTGAGCTGTCTCCTTTTTCCCCAAAGTGACCGGTTTTTAAGAGATGGAAACAAAGCAGTTCAGATAGTTCTTAGTTTAACCCACAGGGCCCAGTCCTCACTTCTGGAAAGTTCAGGAACAGGACTGCTCCCCAAATGCCAGGAAGCCAAAAACACCTGCTCCTCAGACTCTTGTGTGCAGTGCTCATTATGCCATGGCGCTCTCTTAGCAATAATGTCCATCCCTTTAGGATCAGTACTGGGGCCTCTGCTGTTTCTGCTTTACTAGACCTTAGCTTTTCAAATGCCAGAGAGGTCCAACTGCAGAGTGTCAGAAGCCCTGTCCCAGAAGATGCTACTCAACTTAACCTTGTGAACAAACAACATGTTCAAAGCAACAAGTGCAATAAGATGCCCACTAATCTGGCTTTACCAGATTGGATCAAGAACAATTACCCCACTGGTCTGAGAACATAGCCTTTAGTGCCATTACGTCCCAAAATTTCACAGGAAATAGTAAGCAGAAACAACCCTGAAACAAAAAAGCTCTCTGACATCCCCACTCACAGACACAGAACATCATCCCACAGCAGGAAGAAAAGTGGCCCCCAAAGAGTCCACTCTAATCCCTAACAAACCTGTGAATGTCACCTTACCTGGCAAAAGGAGCTTTGCAGATGTGATTAAATTAAGGATCCTGCGATGAGGTGATTGTCTGGGATTATCTAAGTGAGTTCAGAGGGAGACAGGACGATCAGAGTTAGAGGACATGGCCTGGAAGAAGTAGAGGTCAGAGTGATGCAGGACCACAAGCCAAGGAATGTGGGCAGCTTCTAGGAGCTGAAAAAGGAAATGGATTCTCCCAACCAGTTGATGTCCTGAACTGCGAGGTAATAAATTGGTATTGTTGATGTCACTAAGTTTGTAGTAGTTTGTTACAACAGCAATAGGAAATTATATAACCCCTCACCAATAAAATACTACCTAAACCACTGATGCATCACATTTTATAATTAAAGCCATGTAATTCAAATGCAAATGTCCTTAGGAGGAACAATCCCTTTTTAGCTTTAGGTTTTTTGGTATACATGAGTTAGCACATCCTTTTCTAAAGACAACTTGGAAAGAGAAAGAGCTTAGGGATTAAATGAGGTCAGGAAATAGTTTCTAGAAAAAGAAAGAGGAGAAAGTCACTGTAACCTTTTTTTTTTTTTTTGGTACCAGGGATCGAACTCAGGACCTTGCACTTGCCAGGCAGGTGCTGGAACCACTGAGCTAAATCCCTGGCCCACTGAAAACCTTTTTTATCTTGCAATTTTGTCAGACCATTTCATTGTGAGTTTCCATCCAAAATGTGCTTTTCTGTGTCCCATGAACCAGCTCACCTGGGACACACAATGCCTTTCCCAGCATGGTCCTGCCTCCCATTTCCTCCTCCCTCCTCACTGTGGATGCAGTTCCACAGACCTTTGCACAACAGGCCTCCCATCACCTAGCGTGGCCTCTCCAACCGCCCCACCCAGCCATCCACTTCTCCCCTTCTCTGACACATTACCTTGGTTTATGTCCTTTGTTGCAAGGAACCACGATCTGACATTCTCTTACTTGGTTCTTCATTATTATCTTTCTTTCCTTAGAAGAAAGGACTTTGTTCATTCATCGGTTTGTTTATCTCCAGTACCTAGTATCATGCATTACACATAAGTTTTCAGTATCATTGAATACACTGAACGGACCCCTATGTGATATCTGAGATCCCAAATGTCACCACCTCCGTTAAGCCTTCCTTGATCTCCTTCTTCAAAAGTGCAGTACATCTTGGACTTCTGCATCCTTCTCGCCTGCGTTGTCTTTCTCTCAGAGGGGCGACGGCCGGTATGGAAAGTCCTGCATCATTGTGCCCCTTTCTTGCGCTTACCCACAGCCAATCTCCTCGCCTCCGTCCTGCTCCCTGCTGAGGACGCGGGCCGTTGTGAAGGTCATCATGCTTGCGCTGTGTCTGTTTCGGAGTGGAGAAATGTTTCTGCACCCGTGTCCATGTCACAGGAAAAGAACCTGCAATCGGGCGGGAAAGGTCAGCCATTTGCCCTCTCCTGCCTCTTCCACTTCGGAAATACACTGTTGCGACTCCTGTGACGTGCTCTACGTCGAATCCCTTCGGGTCTTCGCGTGTAGAAAACCATCCCTGCAACGCTCCCTGCTTCTCTACCTGGAGCACTGTGCGCCCTGTCACTGCGGATGGGACTCTGAAGAATCTAAATGTGAGGATGGGCGTGGGAAGGGGCAGCATAACCTGGGACTGTTTCTCTTTCTGTTGAGTTTCTGCAAGTGATGTCGAACAACTGAAGAGATACAAGCTTTTTTAAAGAAAGATAATTATGATCTGTTTACACATAATGTGGAGAGCAGCATATTCTGCCCCTGGGCTTTGTGACTTCTGTGTTTGTGACCTGTGGTCCTGCGCGGAAATGCCCTCCCAACTGAGGCGGGACAGCTGCAATACTTAAAGTGACCGCCAGGGGCTGATCTCACACAACATTTCTGTACTTCAGCCCTGAAAGTTCACCTGGTTTCTATTTAACTTCCAAAACCATTCTCTCAGCCCTTACAGTCCTGAAAACTAATTTGTCTCCAGAAGCTTGTAGTATCTAATACTTCAATTCTTTCTTCAAAATTATTGCTGGGCAGTGGTCCCTAAGGTTTGCACAACCTCAAACTTCCCATTTGTGACTTTTGGTAGCTCAAGTCGATAGGATAAGTTGGTTAGCTACAAAGCTTAATTTGTCCTTGATTGGAAATATTTTCAAAGAATCCATGATGGGAAATAAAATCACCTTGTGAGTGAATAAGGAAACATTCCATGTTGGTACTCAATTTTATTTTAAAAAAGGCAATGGTTGGACTAGTCGGAAAAAAGTAAATGCAGGTGAAATACATGAGGTGACAGAAACCAGTGACAGGGAGGGAGTGTCTGGAGAGATCCTCTAATTTTCTCTGGTCATTCATCAACTTAGTTAAGTGAAGTATGTGAGTGATCTTGCCATGATAAGACACTGAATACAAATGTCTAATATCAGGTTTATTTTGTAATGAGGGGCAGGTATTTCTAATAGTGTTAGAACCACTTGCAAAATTTTAAAAATTATCAATGTCCAGGGCCCACATGAGATGACTTATAAAAGAGCCGCTGGGGTAGGAGCCCTTTCGGTATTGCAACTGTGAAGTATCTCCAGATAATTCTAGTGTGCAGTATGAGGTGACAACCTCTTGTCAAGCATCTTT